TTTCCAACACAGGCACCCATTAAATCTTGGGAAACAAACCGAAAGAAAAGCATCAAATGAGAAAAAAACATGATCAGCTCACTCTGAATTCTATCTTATATTTTAGCCAGTCTACTGGCTTCTTGGCTTGGAGTAATTTCAAATTCCCTCTGGCTTAGTGGCCAGGCATTTTCTTATTCTTGTTTGCTAAATACACTCTCCCTTAAAATAAAAATCCTCCTCCTCACCACCTCATCTCTCTTGTGAATTCTCTTTTTAGAATTCAAATTGCAAAGGAACTTGCAAGGGAAAGGGAATACATGTTTTAGCACGCCGTTTACGGTTCACGGCTCTAGAGATCAGTAGAAATTTTCAGTAAAGAAGTTGAGAGCCCTGGCTGGTGTGGCTCAGTGGACTGAGCACCGGCCTCCAAACCAAAGGGTCACAGGTTCGATTCCCAGTCAGGGCACATGCCTGGGTTGCAGGCCAGGTCCCCGGTAGAGGGCACGTGAGAGGCAAGCACACATTGATGTTTCTCTCCTTCTCTTTCTCCCTCTCTTCCCCTCTCTCTAAAAATAAATAAATAAAGTCTTTTAAAAAAAGAGCTTAGAGATTTTGTTTGCCTTGAGTTGTGGAAGTCATGCCAACCTTGACAATCACCTTAGAGACCCTAGTCTTGGAGCATGGACAGCTGATCTACTGCCCAAGTATCATCTTCCCGCAGCTCAAGACTCAAAGAGAGGAAAAACTTTGAGGCTGTGGGCCTACAGTGACAAGGACAAAACCAAACTCTAATTGTTGAATTAAAAACAAATATTTTTATTTATGTATAATTGACATATAATGTTATTTTGCAATATAATGACTTGAGTTACCTATATATTGCAAAATGATCACCATTAATTCTAGTTCCCACCTGTTATCATTCAGTTACAGTTTTTTCTTGTGATGAAAACTTTTAGAATCTATTCTAATAGCAACTTTCAAAGATGCAATGTAGAATTATTAACTATAGTCACTGTACCCCACAACTTCATTTTTAAAAAAGATGTATTTATTTATATTTAGAGAGAGGGCAAGGGTGGGAGAGAGGGAGAGAAACATCAATGTGTGGTTGCCTCTCGTGCACCCCCAAGTGGGGACCTGGACCACAACCCAGGTTTGTGCCCTGACTGGGAATCGAACCAACAACTTCCTGGTCTGCAGGCTGGCACTTGATCCACCCAGCCACACCAGCCAGGGACGATGACTTCATTTTATCACTGAAGTTTCTACCTTTGACCCTTTTACCATTTCACTCACATCCACCACCTGCCTCTGGCAGCCACCAGCCAGTTTGTCTTTGCATCTATGAATTTATGAATTTTTTTGACTCCACATATAGGTGAGATTGTAAGTATTTGTCTTTCTCTGACCTATTTCACTTGGCACAATGCCCTCAAGTGTCATGCATGTTGCCACAAATGGCAAGATTTTCCCTTTTTTATGGCTGAATATTTCATCTCTATGTCTATATATCTATATCGTAGTTGGTCCTATCTAGGCTATTGTAAACAATGCTGCAATGAAAATGAGGGTTCGTGTATCCTTTTGAATTAGTGCTTTTGTGTTTTTTAGATATATTCTCAGAGGTAGAATTGCTGGATTCAAGCTTTCTTTTTCTTTGTTTTTAAGATTTTATTTATTTTTAGAGAGGGGAGGGGAAGGAGAGAGAGAGGGAGAGAAACATCAGCGTGTGGTTGTCTCTCACGCACCCCCTACTGGGGACCTAGCTGCAACCCAGGCATGTGCTCTGACTGGGAATCGAACCTGCGACCCTTTGTTTCCCAGGCCGGTGCTCAGTCCACTGAGCCACATGAGCCAGGACTGGATTCAAGCTCTCTTATAAGCACTATTAAAATATGACTCCAGAGAGCCCATGACAAGAAATTCAGATGGGATTAGATGACGCAAATGTAAAATAAAGGTGGAAGGTCCATGTTTATGTCAATTGCCATTCTGGTGGCTCTGTGGAGACTCCAAATGGTGGTCACTCCGCTTCTGAAATTCTGATTGGAAGCCAGAATAGTACGCTTGACCACCTCGGAGATTTATGTTCGCACAGGCATGCCTACACCTAGGAATCTAAATAACTATTATAATAAATGAATCAATAATATTCTCCATGCAAACATTCCCAAGAAATTATAAGCAAGAAAGATCTATCACATCATTATGGAATAATTACAAATAACATTCTTCAACCCACGAGTGCCTTTATTGGATTCAAAAGAGACTGGGAGGAGAATGAAGAATTCATTAATCATTGTATACATATTAACTATCTAGAGGTTGGGGAATTGTTATAGAAGTCGCGGAACACATCTGCTGCTTTGCTACTGCGGGCTTGGCTTTGGGGACACGGATTCGTTGTTTGGCGTCCAGGGACAAATCGAAGAAAGCGTTGATGCTAAGTTCTGTCTCTCACCAGGAAAGGTAGAGCTGAGAGCAAACAGTTCATATTTACCTGGCAAGACAGCAGGTATTCCATGAGCTAGTGCCTTGGCATAAACCTGAAACTGGAAAAAAAAAAGGAAGTAGAGTTGCAGAAATAGTTGTTTTTTTTTTTTTCCTCTTGACTGTACCTGGTTTGAAGAAGAGAGATTTATATACATTGTGTCCTGGAGTTGAACCATCTAGAGAAGTATTTTGTGTGAAGGAGTAATCATCTAAAACCTTACATTATAAATTTATAAATTAAAAAGGTAAAAAAAGGATTTGAATTTACACCTTGGGATGCTGCTAACATTTTCTTCTCTATCTGCGCTGTGTTCCTATGCACCGGATGGCCTTTAACAATCTTCTTTAGTCGCTCAGGAAAAGAGCCTCCCTAGCCCTGGCCAGTGTAGCTCAGTGGATTGAGTGCAGGTCTATGGGCCAAAGGGTTGCCGGTTCAATTCCCAGTCAGGGCGCATGCCTGGGTTGTGGGCCAGGTCCTCAGTAGGTGGGACTGTGAGAGACAGCCACATATTGATGTTTCACTCCCTCTGGTTTTTCTCCCTCCTTTCCCCTCTCTCTAAAAAGTCTTCCTATGTTGTCCATTTTATGAGCATAAGTTACTGGGAAACTTATAGAGAATAAATTATTTTCTTAAGCCTGTCGGATGTGCAGCCAATGGAGATTTTAAGGCAGGAATGCAATGCAACATTTAGCTGCAAGGGGCATGGGGGGCGTTTGGATCAGCTGTTTGCCCGCTGCCTCTGGTGGGGATTGTGGGGCTCTGTTCCAACCCCAGGCTGGCTTAGCCACAGGCTCTTCCGCAACCTGCATGTGGTTTTAAGATTTTATTTATTTATTCTTAGAGGGAGGGGAAGGGAGGGAGAAAGAGAAGGAGAGAAACATCCATCCGTTGCCTCTGACATGCCCCCACTGGGGGACCTGGCCCACAACTCAGGCCTGTGCCCTGGCTGGGAATCAAACCGGCCACCTTTCACTTCGCAGGCTAGCACTCAATCCACAGAGCCACACCAGCCAGGGCTGTGTGTGGCTTTAGACTGACACAAAATGACAAGGAAACACTGCCATGTTGAAATGGCTGGCAGAGGTCCCGAGGGGGGAAGAAATGAAGAAGTGTGCTTGAGTCACGGGACAAAGAAAGGTGTCACTGTGCCCAAATGTGCCCTTCTCCTCCCTTCTCCTCCTTGCGTGACGCTGTTGAGAACGCACGTGCCATTGTGAGTGCAATTCACGGGCACTCAGCGATGCAAGGTAAGTTTAATTGATTCGCGGCTTTCCCATGGCTGACGGTGAAGTGGCGCTTTGGTGATGGAGAGGTGAGGGGAACTTGATTTCCATGCAGAGATGAGATGCGGCCTTCTCTGAACCGGCAGGTGGAAACTCCGCTTCAGAATTCATTATGTGACGGCAAGGACCACAGCGAACAATTGGAACCTGCTTAACAGTTCAACGGGTCAAAATGCAGTCAGGCCATTAAAAGTTAAATGACTTGCAACACTGAAAAATCTTTGGGCAGTACAGCTATGTGGCAGTTTCTAGGGTCCCGGATGGTGTTTTGTGACAGCCTTATCAATGTCATCTGCGGTTCACCCCGCTCTCCCTAAGCCCTGAGGTGCCCAGCTAGGATCTGGGGTCTCTGTAATATGCCACAGTGCATGAATGGAAAACAACATCCCTCCTCTAACGATACCAAACATCGCAGTGAGGGACAGTCACCTTCTTGGTCTCCTAGGGAGATGGGGGCTGGGGAAGGGGAGGGGCTCACCTCCTGGACTCCTGTCCAGCTATTTCCCCTCCCAACCCCCCAGCCCATGGCCATGTGTCACCTACTCCCAGAACTCAAAGTGATAAAACAGCCCATGGGAATCGTAATGAATCGAAAAGTAAAATCTACATCAAGACGTTTTTACCGGCTTCCTTTCCAATCAACCACCCTTGTGGTTTGAAAATTACATCCACACATTTCCTAAAGGTCCTCCTGGAAAGGTGGGGAATGCTGGTGACACGGAAGTACTTTGAAGACTAGGTAGTGAGAGGCCCACCGTGACTTCAGGCTGGGGCGGACGCTCCCCGTCTTTGTCTCTCTTAGACCCCCGGCTCTGGGCAGCCTTACAGAAAGGCCCACCACCCTCGTGGCCAGGAGCTGAAGCCCCCACCAAGAGCTAGCGAGGGACTGAGGCCTGGAGACAGCTGTGGGCGTGAACTTGGGACTGGATTCTTCAGCCCCAGTCAGTCTTCAGATGACCTCAGCTCCAGCCTCACCCGAGACCTTGAAGGTTTCAGATGCCTGACCTTCAGAAACTGTGAGGTCATAACTGATTGCTGTCTTATCTTGCCAAGTGTTGGGTTAATTTGTTACATAACTAGAGATAACTAGGACATCCTTAAGCGGTAGCCCGCACGGAGTCTGGTATCGACTGGAAAATGGATAAATATTTGCTGAGTGAATTCAGGGAAGTAAAGGAATGAAAAGTTTAATTTATGTTCCTCCACATCTCTCCCTATTTTTCTTGCCTCTTTTTAAGGAGCTTCAGGGAGCAGTGTTTGGAGAGACCATCTCTTTAATTATTAAAAGGTCAGTCATTCAACAAATATTTATTGCTGTGACCGTTTGTCAATGAACCAACCCCCTTTTGACTGTGAACCCATTTGAGCTTCTGCCAAGCTTTTAGAAAGAAATATTTAGTGAAGCTCTTGCTGCCAGTCTCTTTTTCAGAGAGAGAAAGGGAGGGAGAAAGAGAGGGAGAGAAACATCAATGTGTGGTTACCTCTTGCACACCCCCTACTGGGGACCTGGCCTGCAACCCAGGCATGTGCCCTGACTGGGAATTGAACCCACAACCTTCTGGTTTGCAGGCCTGTGCCCAATCCACTGAGCTGCACCAGCCAGGGCCAGGGTTTTAGAAGTTAAAACTCAGATTTGGGAGTAGGTGGACACAAGTGGCCCAGAAAAGTGAAGGATGAGTGGAAGACTGAAATGATCTGTCCTCAGAGATACTAGAGGCTTTCGTAGACCAGAATGAGACCAACACTGGAACTGAGGGCTATGAACAATGTGAGTCCCCTGCACAGTTAATGGGAACACTCTGGGACAACCGTGGCTCACCCATACTCCATGGCTGGCGCTGGCTTTTGGCTCAGAGACTACAGCTTGGAATCCCTCCTCTTTATTTACCAACTGTGAGAGCTTAACTCATTTAATCTTCTGCAGCCTCATTTTCTTCATCTGCAAATAAAGCAAACGCATTGTACGATATAGTTTTTAATAGACAAGGGGTTAGGGTTAAGGTTAAGGTTAGGGTTAGCAGCAGGTACTTCAAAAATCGTTAGCTCCTTTTCTCATGAGGAGTTGGTGTGTTTGGTACATTGTGTGGCTGCTTCTTCACTCACGTGCACCCCCGTCTTGTCCTGTGTGCAGTTCCGGGGGGTCGTCTGAAAATCTAGAGTGAGGAAGTATGATCAGGACTTGGTCGGACTTCCCTGCTACCCGAGGAGGAGCCTGCTCCCATAGGACCCCAAGAATCCTCCGAGGTATGGATCCATTAGAACAACACAGATGAGTGATTTGAGGCTAAGTCAGTAAGAAAATTACCTGAGGTCACCCAACTAGATATCAGCAGGGCCAGGCTTAAAACCATTGGGCATCTGATGGGCACGTGTATAGCCCTTGGGGCCGGAATTGGAGAAGATGCCGGAAACTCGTGCTGCTGTTCTGGCCCCACGTGACCTTCTGTCCGGTCTGGGCTCTGCCTTTGACTGCTCTCTCTCAACGTATTTGGAGGTTCCTGATGTCCCACGGACAGTGACCTTGATGGTGGGTCCCGCATGTCTCCAAGCTGCCATTCTGAGCTTTGGTTGCTGCAGGCACAGCTCAAGCAGATTTCCAGGCTATTTAGTGAAGGGGTCAGGTCAAGAGGTAGTTCTCCTGTTTATCACATGGTTGCTTGGCCTTGGCTTGACATTCGATGAGTTTCCTGCATATTCTCTCCTCTTTTTATCTTGCAAATCCTTCTTCACTTTTGCCAATTCACCCCTCACTTTCCTTCCCTTTTTCTATCTACCTCGCATCCACGGTGGGGCTGAGGGGGCAAAAAGCTGGGGATGGGACTGGAACCATTTTGGTTCCTCCCTGTCTTCCCTTCTCCTTATTTACATTATGTGATTCCATTGTAAAAGCACTTTGGAATTTGTCCGGCAAATGAGTTTTTTTTCTTGTGGATCCAGTTCAATTTCAGATACAAGTCTAGAGCTTCTGTGAGTGTCAATAAAACACACGTAAGGCTCTGAGAAGACTGAGCCAGAGAGAAAAAGTGAAACAAAAGAAGTAAATCCAGCTCAACAAATTCCCTTTCTATTTTTTTTTACTATTTTTATTTATTTATTTTTAGAGGGAGGGGAAGGGAAGGAGAAAGAGAGAGAAACATCAAGGTGTGGTTGCCTCTTCCGCACCTCTACTGGGGACCTGGTCCACAGTCCAGGCATGTGTCCTGACTGGGCATCGAACTGGCAGCCCTTTGGTTCGCAGGCCTGTGCTCAGGCCACTGAGCCACACCTGCCAGGGCTTATTTGTACTTTCTATTCCTGAGCACCTGAGCAGCTATCAAGAGTCCTGACAGTCAGGGCTCATGCCTGGCTTGTGGGCCAGGTCCCCAGCTGTGGGCACTTGAGAGGCAACCACACATTGATGTTTCTCTCCCTCTCTTTCTCCCTTATTCCCTCTCTCTAAAAACAGGTAAATAACCCTGATTCACGTAGCTCAGTGGATTGAGCGTGGGCCTGCGAACCAGAGGGTTACTGGTTCAATTCCCAGTCGGGGCACATGCCTGGGTTTTGGGCCAGGTCCCTGGTTGGGGGCGTATGAGGCAACCACACATGGATGTCTCTCTCTCTCTTTTTCCCTCCCTTCCCCTCACTATAAAAATAAATAAAATCCTTAAAAAATAAAAATAAATCTAAGGACTTCGAAATGAGAAAGGGGTAGTGTTTCCAAGGAAAATCGAGATACTATTACATAGAGGGGAACTGGATGCTGGCCAGAGAAAAATCACAGCTCTCTTCTAGCACGCAACAAGTGCAGGGGAGAAAATAAATTATTATAGTTAAGGCTGCCATCTTATGTGACAAGGAGAGTCAGCATGCTCAACATGGGCAGAAACATCTGATAGATGAAATTGAATCTCAAGTTCCCTTCTTGTCTCGAACACTGCATTTTCCCAGAGCTTTGCCCATGGACTAGAGGTAGATAACATCTTTTACATTTTCATTTCCTAATAGAAAACTAGATGAGGGGGAGGAGAAGGTACATGCTATAAAATAAAATTTTAAACCCTTGTAAGCGATCGGGTCTTTTACAAATAAGGAAATCTGAAGATACTGGTGTATTCTTTAGATAAGATCGTCTTTTTCAATCCCCAGGAAATCCCCGTCATTCAAATGGGTTTACCTTTGCTTAATCTGTAAGCAGAGCTGGTCCTAACTAAGCACAACTGTGCTCAGAAGGGGAACCTTGTCTGTGGTATCCGCCTTTTCCGTAGGAGCCAATTACTGTTCCCACGCCTGGAGTGTGCGGTTATGGGACAGCCCCCTACCCCTCCGCCTGCTTCCAATAACAACCATTTACCTGTGTGGGAAGACTCTATCATTTCTCTATCATTTTTATTTCATCAGTTGCAACTGTCATACATAAAATGCTCCCTAAATACCAACTCAGTTCATATAAATCCATCAGCAGGCTGCGCTCGTAAATAAACCCTATCAACTGATGTTTGTTTAGCGCATTCTTATGTCCTAAGTTCTTGCCTGTTGCAGAGCTCCAGCAGGCAGGCAGGGCAGATAGCAATATTATCCTTCTCATATCATCAGTGATGAAACAGAGGTGGAAGGGCCTACTCAGGCTGGTAATTAATGTGACTCTTCCGATTCCAGGCCTCAGGTTTTTCCCACTATATCTGACTCTCCGAGTTTGGGCAAGGGCGGTGGTATTGGTAAAAGCTAAGAGGAAAAACCCTGGGACTGGATGCCCAATGGTTTGAAGCATTGGCTCTGCTGCTTTTGTTAGCTGTATGACCTTGGCCATGACTTAGCCTCCAATGACTCTTCTGTATTGTTAGAATCTTTCTTTATTTTTAGAGAGGGAAGGGAGGGAGAAAGAGAGAGAGAAACATCAATGTGTGGTTGCTGGGGGCCATGGCCTGCAACCCAGGCATGTGCCCTGACTGGGAATCGAACCTGCGACACTTTGGTTCGCAGCCTGCACTCAATCCACTGAGCTACGCCAGCCAGGTTAGAATCATTCTATACCTCACAGGTTTCCTGCGATGATACAATGACATGATCCATGGGCAACGCTCGGCAGGGGCTCTGTATGTAGCCTGTGCTTGAAAATGCTGTCACGGGTAGAGTCGTTACCCCTTGTGTCTGAAAGGAGATTCCATCTGCATTCACAAAAAAGAATGAGGACCTGAGGCCTTCACCTGGATGGTCTTTGTGAACTACATCCTTCAGGTACCGGTAAAGAGGAACGATGACTTGACCCAGGGAGCCCTTCACCTCATTCCCCTTACCTTCTATTTGCTCGGCCTATGGTTGTTTTCCATCCCGAGCACCCACTGCAAAGCCCCGTATACACGCTGTACGCGCTCAAAAGATGACCAGGTTAATACTCTTTCACGTATCCTCGGAGGGAAGCGTAAATAAACTCTGCAATGGGATTCCACAATTCAGTTTACACTTATGTAAAAACACCGCCACTCACGTGAGTCTCTCTTCTTAGACTAAATAAGCCCCAGAGAACGTATGTCTGCCATTTTACTCTGTTCTGAAGGTCTCCTAATGTCTAGATTAGATTTTCCCATTATTAGTTTCATAAAGGAGAAACCAGTTATTTCTGTTTGACTCCAGCCAGTACTGGTTCTTCCGTGACGCTGGCTTTGGTCAGATGCAATGGTCGAAGCGTCCATGGCATTCGAGGAGCCCCAACACAGCACGTGGACGAGGCCAGCGTGCGCTGAGAAGAGTCAGGCTTGCTTACCTGTTGGCCTCGGGGTTTTTCTCGTCCACCTGCGACCGCTGGATGGTGTCAGAATCGGGAGTCAGTGACGGCCAGCAGTCACGCACGAACACAACCAATGCCCCTCCCGACTAGAGCCCGCCACCTAACGGTGAATCATTCAGGTAATGAGAAGTGGCCGTGGAAGTGTAGAGGGATGAGAGAACATGTGTGAGGACCCCCCGGCTCCGATCTGGGGAGTTCTCAGAACTGAAGACAGCAGAGGGGACATCAGAAAGGGTAGGGACCAGGTTCCGTGAATGAGGACAGGGCCTCCCCTGTCCCTTTTCCTTCCGACGACTTCCCCTAAAGCCCAGGCCTTTGGGAGACGGAAGAATAACAACGTCTGAACACATGTGCTAGGCAGTTTTCATTATTTTACATTCATTTCAACTTACCACAATCCTCCGAGGTAGGTAGGCGCAATTGTCCTGTTTTGCAAATGAGGATGATGCGGCAAGGGGAGTGGATGGTTTGCCCAGGGTGGCCCAGCTGACGAGAGGCAGGGCCTGGGGCCCCAGGTGTTCCTGCTCCAGACATGGGCCCCCGCCACCAGGAATGCTTACAGCAGCGGGTGGCCCAGGCCCTGGTCAGGAATCCGCTGTAGAACTTCCAACCCAGCGTCATGCGACCGTGGAGGACTAACTCCCTTGACATTCACATGGCGCTATCTGCGCTTATCTTTTTTACTGTGAGGGCAGGACAATGTTTTAATAACACGCGCTTATGCAACAGAACACTATGCGGCTGTAAGAAGAAAGGAGTTCTTATCTTGGGCGACAGCACGGATGGACCTGGAGATTACGCTGCTGAGTAAAATAAGCCAGTCGGGGAAAGACTTGGATGGGATCACCCTTCTGTGTGGAGTCTAACGAACAAAATAAACGGATGAACAAAGTAGAACCAGAGGCGTGGACACGTGGAGCAGACTGACAGCTGTCAGAGGGGAGGGGTTGGGGGCGCTGGATGAAAGAAGGGGAAGGATTAGCCGAAGAACATATATGCCTGACCCACGGACGCAGACTACAGCGTGGGGGTGGCCAGAGGGAAGGAGGGGTTAGGTGGGGGGCGGGCAAAGAGGGCGAGAAACGGGGACAATTATAATGTCAACAATAAAATGAATAAAAAAAAACCATATTGAAATGAAAAATGTGCTTACAAAAATAAGGATGTCTTTAAGCTCCAAATTCTCATGACTACGGCAGGTGATGGCGGTGTACCATGGAAGAACTTCCGGGTGCTTTTTATCTCTTCTTTTGCTTTTTCCTTCGCAGGCATGATGACCCTAGACAGGCCCACGTCCATTAAAGTCAGCAACATGCCCTGGTTCCCAGCAGGGGGTGAGGAGGCCTTCCCAGCTCTGCTGTGCTTCATGGAAACTCAAACACTAAATTTCACAGTGCCTTATTTTGAATTTTAATTTGCTCTGTAAGTTTTAAAAGCAATGTTTCTTGCAACCCCCCCTTATTTTATTTTTTTTGTAGATTGTGTGTCCTTCTTTTGTCCCCAAGTGGAAATGGAGGCTGCAACCACACAAAATGCTTTTCTGGTCCTTTTTCAGAAGCTCCTAGATTAGAATGTCAAAGGTGCAATATTGTTTTTGACGCGTCCAGTGGCATCAAGTGTAGTTCTAGAGTCTACCATACGTTTTCTAGAAAAATACATGAAAGAAGTGGGGTGGGGGGGGAAGCTGAATTTAAATGGTGATGACCTTGTCCAAAGCCTTTGTTATTGATATTCAACATAACGACCCCAAAGTTAACATGGCCTTCATATTTACTGGGTATTCAACACTTTTTGACTAAACTCTATGTCTTTCGATTAAAAGAAATTCACGCATGGTAATTATTTTCAAGTTTGGCAGATGGATGCTGAGAATGCTTGTCAGAGAACCACGTTAAAAACCGAAAACATTGTGTACTATTCATATGACCAGAAGAAAAATGCTTCTAATTAAAAAAAGTGTTCCAGGCTCTGGCTGGTGTGGCTCAGTGGGTTAAGCACCAACCTGCAAGCAGAAAGGTCACCAGTTGGATTCCAGGTCAGGGCACATGCCTGGGTTGTGGGCCAGGTCCCCAGTTGGGAACTTGCAAGAGGCCACCAATCAGTGTTCCTCTCTCTCTTTTCCCTCTCTAAAAAAATAAATAAAAATCTTTAAACAAACATTTCAGGACTATCTTTAATTAGTTTCTGGAATTGATTTTTGCATTGTTTAATTTTTTTTTGTCCCTGTCCAAAAACATTTGTCATATTTTGTCAGGTAACATGACATTTTATATCTTACTTCCTCTTTCTAGGGCACGTGAGCATGGGCAAACACTTTTTTTAATTATCCTGATCGAGTGTGGAGAATATTTTTTTTCTGACCCCCCTTGTAATCAACTGTGACCCCCAAAAGCAGGCAAATGGGTGGCTTCTGCCCTTCTCAACTGGCCAGAAGAGTGGGTTTTGCATTATCCTGCCCCTCTGAAAACCCCAGCTCAGTGGTTGACTTTATGCCCGCCATGCCCGCCCATAGCAGCAAATTCCACAGAACAAATTCTACCCGGTGAAGAAGTATTTCCTATCACTCGCTTTAAATGTCCTCTGCATTGACTTCTCAGAGTGGCCCAGTCTCCTACGGGACAACGTAATGAGGGTCTATCAGTTCTACTGCCCGGCACCTACCTTTAATGCCTAAGTAAATGTCTCTTATTTTCCAGCCCAGATTGGTTCAGTCTAACTTTTGAAATGTCTCGTCGTGAGTGAATGCATCTACATTGCATTCAATTTCTGGCCCAGGTCCGGAGCTGTGGCATCCCTGAACTATATTCCTGAAGGTGAGAAAATGAAAGATGAAGACAAGAAATTAGATAACCATGTATTATCCTCTTCTATACTGCTATTGTATGAAGTCCTTTCTTATTTTTTTTTTATCTTCTTGATTTTTCTGCACATAAAAAGGAAATTCATTGAAAGCAATAGAAAGCTTTTTTAAAAAAGATTTTTTAAATGTAGTTCATACTCACATATACTCTGTTATAGCTCTGTACAGCTTGGAATGTGATAACCTATAGAAAATAGCTTAAAGGCAATTTGCGCAATCTTTGTTCCAATTTCTACATCCCTAGGATGGGATCAAGCCTTTTTTTTATTATTAAATAGAATAGACACCTATTTTATTAAATAAATGGACACCTCAAGTGTGAGTTACTAATAAAATGAAATTATGAAGAAAATGTTGATCTATCCAAAAACCACATTTTCTCTAGATTTTTATCAAAGTGCGGATCTCCACATGCAGACCCTCAAATAATCTGATTCCTTGTGCCCTTCTTTCGATTTTTGCAACGTTACTGTCAAGAGGAAATTATCCGATGACTTAGGGGAAAAAGCCCTGTAAGATTATCAAACCTTAAATTAAAAATTTGTATTTTGCCCTGGTTGGTGTGGCTCAGTGGCTTGAGTGCCAGCTTGCAGACCCAAAGGTTGCAGGTTCGATTCCCAGTCAGGGAGCATGCCTGCATTGCGGGCCAATGTTTCTCTCCCTCTCTTTCTCCCTCCCTCCCTGTCTCTTTAAAAATAAATAAATGAAATCGTTAAAAATATGTGTATTTTCACGAAGCTCATTTTGTCCTTTTATTTGTTCAGATGTGTGTGAGAGAGACATGTTTGTTGAGTACATGGGCTTGGAAATATCTTTGAGTGGTGGGGGAGGAGCTCCCGGCACGCGCCCCCAGGAGAAAATAACCCAGACAGACCAAATTGTGGTATGCAGGGTAACTCTCAGTTAGAGACAGGGGTGATTTGAATCCTGTTTTCATTTTGGTGTTTCTATGAAAAGGAGACGGTAGAGGAAAGAGGAAAACCGAAAGGAAGGGAGAGAACTCCTGGGGACTGTGATAAATCAGGAACGTGTCTATAATGATCCCTTTTCTGGGGGTACTTCCTATAACCTTGTATTCCTCCTTCCTCCCCTCCCTCCAATGCCCTGCCTCCGCCTGCCTTCTCTCTCTGTGTCACTTTTAAGAAGGCGTATTGAGCACTTGCGCGTGTGAACGATTGTGCTAGGCACGGAATTAGCGGTAAGACTTCTATTAGCCAGTGCCTGCTTTTCAGCCGTACGCCCTGAAGAAGTTCCTTGTTTACCCTTTCGTTTTCAAACTAATTCCACACGCTCTGACCTCAGGATGCCTGAGCCCTGTCCGTGTAGTTAAAACAGGAAAACTAGTTACCGGCTGCCACCAAGGTAAATCAGCCAGTCGACACACTCCCGGGCTTCCCAGCAGGCCCCTGGCAGGTGGGCATTGTGGTGACCCGTAGATTATTAATAAGGAATGCACACGGGAGAGTTCCTTTTTGGGTTTGTTTGTGCATTTCCCAAATAAAGCCAATACAAAGAGATCCAGCCACAGTGCCTTTAGCTTTCATTGTTAGCATCTATCATTATGTCATCAGGCAAGAATTGCCCAAAGAAATTGAAAAAGATTACCTCTTGGATTGCTTAATGGCTCTCTGCTGCCTGCGTGTGTGGAGTTGTCTGAGGAAGAAAGACAGGGATGAGTCAGGCCCTCGGGGTAGGGACGCGTCGCACCACCACCCGCCAGCGCAGGGTTAGTCTGTCAGCGGAACAGGCTTTGGCAGGCCCCCAGAGAGAGGCTATTTCCTAATCTCGGAGGATTTCTAGCCCGCAAGTCGCTAAGGGGAACCAGGAGTGGGAAAAGGGTGAGGGAGTTTCATCCGTGGACCGGAACCTCTGTTGTTTCTTTCTAATTTGGGTTTCCTTGTATTTTAGCTGCTGCATTTTTTTTTCCTTCACCGGATTTCACAAATATATCAGATTTTTCTGCCATTGGTAGTCCTGCATGTACTGTTATAGAAATTGGTCACTGAAAAATGTACTGGCTAATGTGGGGGGGAGATGCTGGGTTTTGCAGGGAGATATAGAAAGAGATGACGCTTCTTGAGCACCTATTTGGACCAAGAGGTGTGCTAAGACATGCATGGGATATTTCTTGGAACCCTAGGGCCTGAGTATCGAGTTACCAAGTTTAATTGCACCTAAGGAAAAACCACGCATTGAAAGGCTAAGGAACTTGCCTGAGGCCACAGAGCAAATAGCAAAGGCAAGTGGTGAACCCCTGTAGCTTGATCAAGGCCATGCTCTTTTTTTAAAAAATATTGAGTTTACTAGGGTGACATGCGTTTGCAAAACCACACAGGTTTCAAGTGCATAACTCCACAAAACATTACCTGCACACAGCATCGTGCACCCACCGCCCCAAGCAACGTCTCTTTCCATCCCACTTCCCCCCATCCCCACTTCTGCTCACTTCCGCCGACCCCCAGGCCTCTTTCCTTCTGCTGGTCACGGTGCTGTTGTCTGTATGTGTTAAAGGTCACGCTCTGCCCTGGCTGGTGTGGCTCAGTGGACTGAGCACCAGCCTGTGAACCAAAGGGTCCTGGGTTCTATTCCCAGTCAGGGCACATGCCTGGGTTGCAGACCAGGTCTCCAGTAGGGGGCGTGTGAGAGGCAGCCACACACTGATGTTTCTCTCCCTCCCTTTCTCTCTCCCTTCCCCTCTAAAAATAAATAAAATCTTGACAAAAGCTCATGCTCTTAAGAGCAGCTCTTGCCTTGATGTCTATCATCCACCAGAGTCTCCATCTTTGCTAAGTATCTGTTGTGCTAACTGATACTTTATTTTTATTTTTTTAAAGATTTTATTTTATTTATTTTTAGAGAGGGGAGGGAGGGAGAAAGAGAGAGAGAGAGAGAGAGAAACATCAATGTGCGGTTGCTGGGGGCCATGGCCTGCAACCCAGGCATGTGCCCTAACTGGGAATCGAACCTGCAATGCTTTGGTTTGCAGCCCGCACTCAATCCACTGAGCTACGCCAGCCAGGTCTGATACTTACTTTAAACCACCAAAACCACATTGGGTTGGGAGACCACCCAGCAGCTTCTTACCAAAGTAAGCATGCTCTTACCACATGATCCAGCAGTCAGGTCCTTCGGTAGCGGCCCAAAGGAGCTAAAGGTTTGTGTCCGCACAAAAACCTGCACACATGTTTATTGCAGACTTATTCATCATTGGCCCAAACATAGAACCAATCAAGGTACCCTTCAGGAGTGAATGGCTGTGCAAACTGTGGTACATCCAGACCATGGAATATTACGCACAATAAAAAGAAATCGGTTGTCGAGCCACAAACAGACACGGAGGAATCTTACCTGCATATTGCTAAGTGAAAGAAGCCAGTCTGTAACAGCCACATACTGTATGATGTCCACTATAGACGATTCTAGAAAAGGCAAAACTATGGAGACAGTACAAAATTAGCTATTGCCGGAGTTTTTTGTGGAGAGGGGCGATGAAGAGGTAGACCACAGGGGATGTTTAGGGCAGTGAAACATAGTGGAATTCATACATATCATCATATTTTTGCCCAAACCCACAACACCAAGACCAAACCCTAATGAAGACTATGAACTTACGCTAACAATAATACACCAACTGTAACAAATGCACCACACTAAAGCAAACTGTTAGTAATAGGGGAAAAGGTTGGGAAGGGTGTGAGAGGAGATATATATACTTTCTCACATTTTCTACCTCCTACTCCTACTTTCTACTCAATTTTTCTAAAAATCTCAAATTGTTCCCCACAAACGTCTATTAATTTTAGAAATGGGCATTGGTGAGTTTGGGCAGGAGAGGCTGGGAGACAGAACTGAAGGAAGATTTTTCACCCTTTCCTACCTTTTCCGTATTTCGATTACCTATGGAAAGCAAAGTGAGGTTTTAAGCCATCACAGGGAAGAATTCTCAACTTGGGGTGTGATTCTGGGGCTATTTTCCAGTTTGGCCCATTTTGAATGGTAGAATCTTGGTACCCTGTATCCTTTTTTAAAAATGTTTTGCACACCTAATTCATGAATTAACTTAGGTAGTTGCACAAAATACCATTGAATTCGCGGTCAGAATCTTTTTTTTCTTGTATCTATTCTTTCTCTCTTGAGCAGCTGGCTGGTTCGTGACCCTATTGCGTGCCCCAGAGCCGCTCATTCAAATTCTCATGTCTTATAGCCTTTGTGCAGTAAGTGAGCCAGAGAAAGACAAATACCGTACGATTTCACTTACATGTGGAATCTAAGGAATGACATAAACGAATGAGCAAAATTGAACCAGACTCCTGCAGTCTCGATGACTTCGATGCACCATGCTCAGGAATGAGCCACTTGCTTAGTAAGTGGCCGGGGTTGCCGAGGGCGTCAGGTTGCCTGTTCCAGGGCTTCCAAGTTTGGCGCAGTCTAACCTGTTCCTCAGAGACCCTGAGAACAGCCCCTTCTCATGGGCCAGCTTGCACTCTGAGGTTGCTAAAATGAGACAAAGCTTGGGAGGAAAAGGAGAAGGAGAAGGCAAGGGAGAAACAAAGAGAAGCAAAAAGAGAGGAAGGAAGGAAGGAAGGAAGGAAGTAGGGAGGAAGGGAGGAAGGAAGGAAGGAAGGGAGGGAGGAAGGAAGGAAGGGAGGGAGGGAGGGAAGGAAGGAGGGAGGGAGGGAGGGAGACTATAATTTGATGAGCCAATCAAGAAGTGAGTATGGCTCCCCATGAAAGGTCCAGTGTTGGCAAGTAACATGGAAGAAAGGAAAAAGGTGCCTTCAGTTTTGCCAGCAAAGAACGAACGGGGCTGGAATTTTTCCTGATCCCTCCCTACTCCAAACCTTGGAAGGAGCATTAAGCAGAAAAAGGGGGCTTGCTCAAGGCTGTCGCCACTTCCTGCCCTCCCGCCACCAGGCCCGGCAGCTGCCATTAATCACAGGACGCATCCATCTGTGGGCTTGTCATCCGAGCTGCTCCCTGTGGTCGGGAAAGCAGGCGACTGGCAGACACCGAGTGCTTGGCCCTGGGGGTCTTCGGCGACGACTGGGTAGAGAAGTCGCTTCTCTTGGGCTGCATTTTAATTCCCACTAAATCCAATGTGCTCTTCCAGAGAGCAAGGCCGTTGTGTTGAGAGAGAACGGAGCGAACTCGATTCCGTTCGGCTTTGTTGCCGAAGCAAGGACGTGAGAAGTTTTAAACGTCGCTGGGCACGGACACGCCTGATCCAAGGAACCAGGAACGGGGCTTCTAGGAACGAACTGGTTTTCCGCCTAATCACTCAAGGAATGCTGGGTTTTCTGTGCAGAATCAGCCAGGACACACAAATGTTTTGGAGGGGAGTGGGTGGAGGCAGGAGAGGGCAGAAGGGAGATAAATGGTAATAGAAAAAAATGCAACATAAACAAACAAACAAATAAATAGCAAACTCTCAATTCTTCCCCACCCCTCATCCCTCCAGGGAGATGATACCCATGAACTCTGACACAAGGACATTTTCCAAGGAATAGAATGAATATTATCTTCAACATGAAATGTTATTCATGATATAGGGACCCTCTGAAAAGGCCTCCATGCCATGTGATTATTGGCTCAGTGTGAAGTTGTCTCCTTCCCGGGTCAAGTTCAATTTTCTAAGGAGTGTCTGGCTCTTCCTACTGCTTCCTTTGTTTTGTTTCCTTTCGGAATGGATCTGTCAATGGCACCAGAGTTTATCCCTCCTTGCAGACTGTGGAAGGCTCTGACCCTGTTCTTGGAAGCGAATGAATGATGTTGGGACTCAAACAGTATATTCCAACCATCTACACCCTCCTTCGGATCTCAGGACACAGCTTTGGATTGCTGGAACATACAATCTGAGTTGGTTTTGTCTGTTTTCCTCAGTGGTAGTGGTGGACTTGGGCCGTCCCCTTCGGCCGCTCTTGCTGGAGATTTGCACCTCGGCCTCGTGGGATCGGTTTGTGAGAGCGAAGGGATGAGGTATAGTCACAGGTCAAAGGATGATCATTCTCCACCTTAGCTTCATTCATGCCAACTAAGCCTCTACATCCAGAAACAGAGAACCACCCACTGGAACTCTTAAAGAATGGATATCTTGCTTTGGCCAATGTGGCTTAGTTGGTTGGGTATCATCCTACAAAGCCAAAGGTCACAGGTTCAATTCCCGGTCAAGGCATGTGCCTAGATGGCGGGCCTTGTCCTTGGTCAGGGAGTGTTAGGAAGGCAAGTGATGGACGTTTCTCTCCCTCTCTTTCTCCTTCCCTTCATCTGTCTCTAGAATCAATAAAAGAAAACAAAATTCTTTTAAAGTAATGGATTTTCTTCCCAAAGGGAGTATTTCCCCCATTTCCACTGGATTTCTGATTAAAACAACAACAACCCATCTCCCATTTACTGAAAGCCTGCTCCGTTCAGCCACCAGGCCAAATGCTTCGCGCAGCCTTGTTGGTACTAGCATTTCTGCTCCACACTCACGGAGGCTCTAGCGTCACCGGCGTCAGCGGAAATCGTGGTGGTGTGCTGAGAGCGAACTCTTTTTCCAGGAACACGGACAGCAGGCTATTCTATGAATCCTTCTGCAAATTCGTAGATTAACGACTGTTCATATCCCCATATTACAGATGCAGAAACGGAGGCCCAGAGAAATAACTGATGTGCCCACGGTCCCGAAATACAGCGCACAGAAGGGGAGGAGTTAGCCTCGCTGGTCTCCATTGCCACGGTTTCTGGTACTTGGTGGAGTAAAAGGGAATGAGAAATTAACGTCAGGTTTATACAAGTATTTCATTAAGAAGAGAAAGGAAAAGTTAGGACGAAGGAGTAAAACTATACTATCTTGTGACTGGAAGCCTAGCATTTTTAAATTTTGAGAAAGTAAATATTCTTAAGAACCACAGACACCCTGGAAAGTAACCCCAAAGTAAATGCAAATGTCTTCTACAGCCACACTGACTGTCTCACTGTTTAAATTTTTAATAAATTTGTTGGAGCGACATTGGTTAATAAAATTATGGATTTTAAGTGTTTTGTTATTTATATTTTTTGAATTAAATTTTGCTTCAATTTATAGTCAGAAGTGGTTCGTTTCCCCCTTCCTTCCTTCCTTCCTTCCTTCCCTCCCTCCCCCTCCCTCCCTTCCTTCCTTCCTTTCTCTCTCTTTCTTTCTTTCCTCTTTTAAACATTCCCAAAGCTTAAAACAACTTTAATACTTATAAAAGCACAATGGATGTTAGACAATAAAAGGACTTCAGATCCAGGGGCATTATAATGCTTTTGTTTTCTTTCTTAAGAATATGACTCATGCCTTGCTTTATCATAACACCTGGGAAATAAGTCATTTGCGTGAATAATAACTCGAGCGTGTGAGGATTCTGAGGGAACGTGAAAGCAGGGGAAACACAATGACGGTTCTGAGGGTCATCACATACGTGCAACGGGATAAAATGTGACATTACCCACTGAGGACACGGGGCTCTTTCCTGCAAGGAACCAGGTGCCCCAGGTGTGACGTGCCAGCTCCCATCTCCTTGCATTTCATCTTAAGGACGTACAGTTCATCTCATGTACAGCGATGAAAATAAGGACGCTTCCTCTGAGAAAGAAGAAAATGAGTGACAAGAATACTTATTTAACAGAGTGTATGAGGGGCTCTTGGCTTATTTTATTGGACTTGCAGAGACTGACATAAGCATCCTGGTGAAGATGAAGTCCCTTTCGAGGACTTTTGTCTGCGTACTTGAGTGCAACCTGGTAGAGGGACAGACGGATGCAGGACAGACGTGGTTGTCCAGGGAGCCCCTCGGAACCCACGGACGGAGCACCTGCCTCTGTGGCGTAAACCCACATCAACGCCTCCACCTCTGGCGTCTTCGTTTCTGCCCTACCCCCACGCCAGCGTCCCAGAAGGGAGGGGAGTCGATTCCCCATCAACCAGCCGCTCTTCGGCCACGCTCGCAGCGTGCCAACCAGGTTGCCAATTCTGATGTAGACACCTGTCCATTTGGAACGGGAGCGGAGACAGCCACTCGCCGCCTAGAAACCATCAAACACCCTGTCAGCGAACACCAGCTCTCCGCTCACCGCAATCTGGGCGAGACACGCATGGGTCACGTCGGTAGCCAATTACCAATCCTCCGAGACATTTAGGTCTTTTCAGATATGGCTCGAAGTTTCTGAGTCCTGTGGTTTGAGGAGGGTTCTCTTTTAACGAGGAGGAGAATCAATTGCTCTAAGTTTAATTTTTGTTATGCAATGCTAATAAGGTCAAGCCATATTTTAAGGGGGCTTCCTGAGTGACATCTCGATTGTTCAAACAACAATGGAAATGATTTTCAACCCCTTGGCTATCAGAGCCTGGAAATTTCGCATACATTCAGCTAGAAGCTTGTGTCTTCCCCCGTCTCCGTGCGTGTGCATGCGTGTGCTAAAGGGGCCTTAACTCTTCACCTTGCTTTCACGGGCCTGGTCTTTCTAAGCATCCCATCCTCACAGATCTTAGGGGCAAAATATTTTAGGTCAGGGCTGCCTGTGACTTTCAGATGCAGTGTCACCAGTGACAGGAACTTTCTGAGAAGCCTCGTTCCTGCCAGGCCGAGAGGCGGGAGATCAATGCGGGTTTAACGTTGTTATGAGCGAGGCGGCCGAACGCAGTAACAATACGAGTCCGTTGGACATGTCTTCTGGGTTGTCACGTTCAATTTGCACATGACCTCCTGGCCAAAATATGGGAAAGAAGTGGTTGAATGTGGGACTGAAAGCTCATATTATTGCTTTGACAGCTTCACTCATCTAGAAGTAATGCAAAATGCAATTTATATTTATACCCTCTGACCTGCCGAGCGGAGAGGGAAAGTACCTAATGATGGGCCAAGGTAGGGGAGGAAGAAACAAATCTCAGTACGGCTGGAATTTGTCTCCATTGTTTGCTTTTCAACCATTCAATTACAGTCAGAAGACAAATGCAACACGAGCCGTGCACGGGGGGAGGTAGTGACACGATTATTTTATAGTGGCTGGGTTCTGGCTTTGCGTGTTGGCAAAGGTGGCCACAACACGCCTTATTGCACCGGAGACAGATAATCTGTCTGCTCCGAGAGGACGAAAGCCCTCTGCTTGTAGGTGCGTCACTGTGCCCATCGGAGAGGAAAAAAAGACACGAGGGCCTCAGTGACACCCTGGATCGCACTTGGAAATTCTGGAGAGGGGCTGACATGCTAATCCTATTAACGAAGATAAATCAAGCCAGGCCTCGTTGGTAACTGTGGCATTATACACTTTCCAGTGGAAGTAGGCAGTGAGTGGGCAGAACACACTTTGTTTTTTTCTTTTTCTTTCTTTCTTGGTGCACCAGGAAATTTGCTGGCTTTTTACAAACCCCAAATAGCCTCATTTTGGGTAGCACCTGCAGAGAACGGGGCCATCATTTTCAGAAGTCTCAACTTTGTCCTGAATATTTTGGAACGGTGTTTAAAATGAGTCCTGTTTCTGAGATCCACAGCCTCATGGTTTCTACAAAAGTAGGACACACAGGAAAAAGGAATTGGGCTTTGTCCAGAGATTAAAAGGGACAGCGACAACCACCTCCATCAAGGCAGCAACACCTGTACCACCCATAGCTAAGTACCACTTTAAGACACACAGACCCACCCACCAGCCTTGAGAGATAAAACAAAGAGAGGCAGGACATTGCTATCCACAATGTAATGGAATATTCCTAAAATAATTCCTCAAGCACAAGTGCATTTTGCTATGTTCTTGCTACTTTTTTTTTTTAATTTGGGGATATAAAGCCTCTACCACTTAAGTTTTTCTAGACATAGTCAACTTTCTCCCCAAGGTATCTCACCAGGGCTTTCCTGATGCAGGGAACCGAAATGGAGTTTTTCCTCCTTAACTGCACAGGATGAAGTTTATGTGGAGGAATATCAAATAACCCTTACTCCAAAATCAAATTTTTCTACTTCCCCTGTCTTATTGCTGGTTATGATACAAACCCTTCCCTCCCCCACCTCACATCCCCCCTCCCCCCCAGTCCCTGCTGCAAAGGGGGACCACCTGCCCTTTTCAGCTGGCCGATTTCCGCGGGTTTTCCCACAGGGAATGAAATGTGGTTTGGGCTCTGAAAGTATCGTACTTAAGGTTTCGCTAGCTTCTTGGTGCAGAAAGAAATGAGCTGCAAGTGTGTGAATTGGAAGAGGGGCGGGCGCAGGAAGTCTGGAAGCTGTCACACAGGCCAGAGTTGGACAGCATCTCTCTTGGGGACACCCCTGAGGAGGTAGGGTGGCAGGTCTAGGGGCAAGGGGAAGGGGGGGTGCTGCTTCTGTCACAGCTGGATGATAATAAGCTCACGTCCCCCTCCTTGTTTCGGGACCTGGAAGAGGGGCTCTGTGGAATGAGGCCCATATGACAGGGGTGGGGGAGACACTGAGACACCATTTCCATGAGGGCACTTTCTACCTCCATCTTTAAACAAACACACCAGCCACAGAGTGGGGCCCCAGGAAGGCAGCGGTGGGGTCCTGGTTCGGTTCCTCTCTCTCAGTCACTGTCCCCTCCTAGCTGCCTTCCTAACCCCCCTCCCCAAGCGGGTGACATCGGAGCCATCGAGTTCCCACTGTCACCAACATTAGGAGACAAATCAAGAATGACAGGGACCCTTAGGGTGACTTCTCTGGGGGCATCCAGGAAAGGAGAAGCGGGGACAGGCTCCTTTTAAATCCATCTTGGGGAGGCAGAGGGGTGTCCCGGAGGGAGAACTGGGCAGGGCACTCCTGGGTTAGGAGGATGCTAACCCGGAGGTCAGGGTCAGGGACACTCCCTGGTGTGGTGAGGACACACCTGGCCACACAGCCTGCAGGACACCCCAACTCCTGGCCATTTGTAGGGTGCTGAGCCCTGGCACTCTCTGGTACCTCCCTAAATCTCACCCTCCCCCCAGTCCTAAACGTTCACACGTAGGGTGGAAAATATCGAATAAATCTTCCCATTTTGATTATTCTAGAAGCAATCCTAGGATGAGTCTGACGAATTAAAGAAGCGGTTCGAACCAGTGAACCACCAAGCGGCGGGTGCGCGCTCCGGGGATGCTGGCCGAAGTGGCCTCCGCGACATTTTTCTATTTGTCCCCATTCCCTTGTTCCTCTTGGTCAAGCCCGCCTCCAATTAAAAAAAGAAAAAATGTGCAAGCCAGCTCTTCTGATTTTGAGGAAGGCGTGCGCGCGCAGCCCGGGAGGCCCAGAACTCGGTGGGCCGGGGCCGAGGCCGAGGTCCCCGCCGGGCCGGGCCGGGCCAGGAGCTGGGGGGGGCAGGGCGGGGGGCGGCTGCGCTTTCGGCTGCGGGGCCTGGCGACCGGACCTCGGGCCGGGTCTCCCCGCCGGCCCCGCAGGAGTTAAACCCAGAGGCAGACAAAAGGGAGGCCGCGCGTCCTTTGCTCGGCTATCACTTGCAAATAGAAGCGCTGCCCTCTGGACTTGAACGCCCGCCAGAGAGGGCACTTGATTACAGGTTATGACAAGTTGCCGAGAGACACGGGGAACTCAATAAGAAGCAGCGGCGAGCGGCATCAGAAAGGCTCGGGAGGTCTGGAAGACGGAGAGCGAAGATGACTTCAGATGATAGGTGTTAGCCGGACTCCAGATGGCATCTCCGGGCGGGCGGGCGGGCGGGGGCCCGCGCACCGTGTGGCCGGTCTGGCGGGAGGGGACGCGCGGGCCGGGCGCTGAGCGCGCTCCGGTCCGGCGGTCACGCCACCCCTGCTGACCGCCCTCCACCGCCTCGGAGGGTCGGCCTCTACCGCGACCCCACCGACCGCCCCAGAAAATTCACGCCATCCCCTTGCCCCTAAATGGGCCACTTCGTGCTTTAGGTTCTGTGCAGGGAAACCGGAGCCTCCCTCCTTCCTGGCCGGTTTCTTTCAGGGCCCTTGGGGACGGGGATGGAGGGCGGGCCTCCTACCACCTCCTGTGTGTCCCCACCCCCACCCCGCACACACTTCCGCTAGACCGTCTCAGAGTTGTTTTGGT